CTCTAGATTACTTAATAATGCCTAATACAATGTACATGCCTGTAAATAGTCATTATATTGTGGTGTTAAGTGAATGATGACAAGTGAAAAAAGTCTGTACATATTCAATATTGATGATTTTTTTTTCCTGAATATTTTGACCACAATTGGTTGAACCCATTGATGCATAACCCTCAGATACAGAAGGCCTGACTGTATTTGGATACTTTTGACCATTTCTTTATTTTAAGCCTTTCGTAATCCCTTTATTTTTTATTGTCTCTCTTGTTTTGAATACACTGTTGGGTTTTGTTTTGTGAGCAAATCTGAAAATGACAAGTGCATGATTTCTATATTTGCTTTTGTTTTGAGGAACACGTGGGAAAACTTTCAAAACTGTTATGTGGACAGTTTCTTCTATGTAGACACTGTGCAATCAGCATTGTTATTGCAGCCTGTGTGCCAGGCCTTGTGCTGGTCCCTCTCCCCAGAGCTTCAGTCTAGTGGTGAAGGAGAGAGATTGCTGGTAAATCATGAGAAGAAAAATTATCCTGTTTGGTGGGGTTCCCTTCTCCCAGGGTCCCGGGCACTACTAACAGTGATTGCTGTTTTTAGTCCTTCCACACGACTTGACACCCCTCCAGGGTATCCTGATGGTAGAGCTGAAATTTGCCTCTAGTTCTGAATGCACATCATCACAGCAGTGTCATTGACACTTTTTGTAATATTTCTACTCTAATATCTTGTGAATTCAGAGGCAACTTTGTTTCTACCTCAGCACTTGTCACCTTTTTCTTTTGGGTACATCTCATGATATGTGTGCTATTGTTTCCCACAATTCTACCTTAATGTCTCCGCCTCCCACCCACAGTTTTAAAATAGTATCTACTATCATTGCCAGTGTTTCCCAGTGCTCTAAAGTAGTTATTATTTAGGATGGGGAAAAATCAAGTCTTTAGATTTTTTTTGAGTATTAATTGCTTTTCACAGCTCTGCTGTTCACTGGCACCTGGTGGGACATGTTGTGACTTTGACCACGTTTCAACAGAACTTGGGGACATTGCGTGCTCCCTGAGACCTCTTTCAGCCCCGAAGTTTGATTTTCTTTTCTCAACATTCTGACCTCCTTGTGGGAAAGGCACTTCTTTCCTTAGTATTTTCTGGCACATGTTGATCTAAGTATATATTTCCTGAATGAGTATGGTCAAGAAGAAGGGGATTCTGCCTTGCCCCTGGAATTGAGGGGTTGGTTCAGCTGGGGCTGCTGGGTGGTGGCGGTTCTTATGCAGGCTTGTCAGCGTTTTCTTTCATGGTGGAGAATTTTCTTCTTCAAGGTCAGAATTTCACCAACCAGAAAATAGTTAAATTAGATCAGTTTAGTTTTCTTAATGTCAACTTAGTGCCATGTGCTTACATTGTATCACTTTATAAGGTAGATTCCCTCACAGAGTCTTGTTTCTGTTTTTGAGGATCTTCTACCCCACTGTAGGGGTCTGGGTAACAATCAGTTGAATTATTTGAATATTGAATATTATTGAATATTTGTCCATAAAACTTATAAAAATTAACTTATAGATATATAAAACAAAGTAAGCATTTGGGTTAATTTCAAAAGTACATTGTTTCATGAAGTTTTAAAGTTATGTTTCATTTATGGCAATGAGTTTTCTCTAGTGTTTTTCAAGGAGAATTCTTCTGGTAATTCTGTTTTTGGAGAGGTGAGGGTCTTATAGTCTCAGGGTTCATTCAGTATTTTTGTAAAGATCATTGAACTTGAAGTCAGGTTTCAGCTATACCACTAACATTGGCTGGCTGATGTTGGGTGAGCCATTGACTTCCAGATACCATTTTCTTTTCTGTAAAATGGAGATAGTGTCTTTCATGATTGTTGTAATAGTGAAAAAGACATAACATATGTCAAAATGTATTGCTTAAAACCTAGTGTAATGTAGCAGTTCCATTATTCCTAGCTCTATCTGTCTCTGAAAATAATAGGATAAAGTGCATTTTAATTAAGCTAGTTTTATTTGGAAACCTTTAATAAGAATGATTGCACTATACTTACAGTTCAAGATCCCTTGTATTTGTTAGAAAAAGAAAAAAAAAATACAAGAAACAAGAAAGTGGCAAACCTTTGTTAGTTCCAAGGAGCTATGGCTAAAATTGAGAGCATTCTCATGTTCGGAAGTTTTTATTATAAATTTGAAGTGGGAAAAAAGGGACATGAGGGTGTGAGAGAAAGCTTTGCATATTCTGACACTTCAGTTTTGGTGTGGCTTGTTGCCATCCTGTCATTCATTGTGTGAGATAACCCCCAAAGGTTTTTCTTTTTTTTTTCTTTCATTTTTTGGGGGTGGTGGTGTTAATAGCTTTATTGAGATGTAAGTCTTATACCATACAATTTACCCATTTAAAGTGTACAATTTATTGTTTTTTAGCATATTAACAGAAATGTTCAACCATCAGAACAATTGTAGAACATCTTCATTATCCCCAAAAGAAACCCTGTACCCTTTAGCTGTTACTTCCCCAGCCTCCCCATTTTTCTTGACACTCCCAGGTCTAGATGTCTTTGTCTGGTGCTGCTGTAACAGAGTAGCTGAGACTGAGTAAGGTATAAAGAACAGGAATTTTTTTCTCACATTTGTGTAGGCTGGAAAGTCCAAGATCAGGGCATTGACGTCTGGTGTCTGGAGAGGGCCTTCTTGTTGTGTCCTCACATGGCAGAAGGTAGAAGGGTAAGTGGGTATGAATGTTATGTCCCAATGTAACAGAGGAGAAAAAGAGAAAGAACCCACTCCCACAGGCCCTTTTTATAGCAGCATCAATCACTGATTATGCTCTGCCCTCATGACCTAAACACTTCCCGTTAGGCCCAGCTCCCAATACTTGAATGGGGATTAAGTTTCAACATGAGTTTTGGAGGGGACAAAAACATTCAAACCATAGGACTAGGCAAACACTAATCTGTTTTCTTTCTCTATAATAGTTTGCCTACTCTAGACCTTTCGTATAAATTATATGAATTATATTGTAACTGGCTTCTTTCACTTTGCATAATATTGTCAAGGCTCAACCATGTTGTAGCATGTATTGGTACTTTATTCCTTTTTTATTGCTGAATAATAGTCTATCGTATGTATAAATCACATTTTATTTATCTGTCAGTTGATGAACATTTAGGTTGTTTCTACTCTTTGGCTATTATAATTAATGCTGCTGTGAACAATGCGTCTGTGTATTTGTATACAAAATTTTGTGTGGACATATGTTTTCATTCCACCTAGGAGTGGAATTGCTGGGTCAAGTGGTAATGCCAAACCATTTTCCAAAGTGGCTACACCATCTTAATTCCTGTCAGCAGTATACAAGGGTTCCAGTTTCTCTACATCCTCCTTAACATGTATTATTGTCCATCTTTTGATTCTAGTCATCCCTGTGGGAGCCACATGCTATTACATATGTGGTTTTGATTTGCATTTCCTTTATACTTATGGTGTCAAAATCTTTTTATGTGCTTAATGACCATTTGTATATCTTCTTTGGAGAAATGTCTGTTCATATTCTTTGCTCATTTTTTAGTTGGGTTATTAGTCTTTTTATGGTTGTGTTGTAAGACTTCTTTATATATTCTAAGATACAAGTTCTTTATGAGACATATGGCGTCCAAATATTCTCAAAGGTTTTTATGCCTTTAATACATGGACTTAGTTGTAATAACCATCCTGATTGAGTACCTATTCTGGGTCAAGCTCTACATTGACAACTATATATAGTTTACTTCTTTTGATTCTCATAACAACCCAAAGGTAGAGGTAATATTAATCTAAGTTAGCATATGCAAAATCTAAAGTACAAAGAAGTTAAAGAACATTACTCAGGGTCAGAATGTTAGTAGTTACTGCCTAAGGTCTGAGTCACACCTGAGCCTTGCTGTGTGCCCAGCTTCGACTCTGCAGTAGGACTCGATGTTAATATGAAGCCACAGGCCCCTCTGCTGGAGCTTGGAGCTTATTGGAGTTGCTGGCATGTGTGTGTGCACTCTTTCATGTGCATATCGTGCCCAGCCCCCAAGAGTCAGCCTTGACCTCTCCTGTCTCTGATTCCTTATGTCCGCACTCCACTTTGAGTTCCTCATTGTGTGTACTGCATAGTTAGCGTCTACTGTGTCTTGGTTTTTCTCTGGTTATTTTATATTTATAATGTAGATAGACAGATAAACATCTCTCCAAGAGGGGCTTTAGCATAGTAAAAGCAAGGTTGAATTCGAAAACTCTGGAGGAATTAACAGAGGATTATTTTGGCTTTTATATAAGAAGAAATTTCTAAGCAGCTAAAGTTGTCTTTCAGTAGAATCAGCTGCCTGGTGAAGAACTTCCCAGAACTGTATGTTTTCAAGCAGTAGTAGAATGCCCTTCTGTTAGGATGTCATAAAATACATTTCTACACGGGGTGAGGAGCTGGACCCAAAGGCCCCTTACATGTTGGAGAAAGGCTTGCCCCTGCCAGAGTCACAGATAATACAGCCATAGAACAGCGTGGCACTTTCTCATATGCTTTGGCTTCAGATTTTGGTTTTATTTTTTAAGTCTGAATAAACATAGTACTAAACTGTTGAAAAATAACAGGATAAAGATCTTTTATCCTTGAAAATTTAATCTCCTTTGAAAAACGTACTTCTGACTCTCAGACTAATATAAAACTTCTAGTTTTTTACATGGAAAGAACTGTGGTTAAGGGTATATTCTCTTGGGTTCAGGCAGATTTATGTTTGAGTCTCAGTTCGGAAGGATCTTTACTATGTGACTTTGGGCTGGTTACTTTTACCATTGTATGCCTCCGTTTCCTCATCTGGAAAATAGGGATAGTAAGCATATCTCCTCTGAATAATTACCAAGATTCTGTAAGTCTTGTCTGACGCATAGTAAGTACTCATTAGATGTTTATTATTTGAGGGAAGAAGGATTAGTGATGTGGATGACTTATAATAAAATGTAACCTCATTTTTAACTTTTTCTCAGAGGAAACACAAGAATAGAAGAGGCTTGTGAAATGTATACCAGAGCTGCAAATATGTTCAAGATGGCTAAAAATTGGAGTGGTATGTACTAAGTTTTTGTTTGCTTTTATGGCAAATACTTTAAAGTCATTTTCAAGGAGCAAATGACTGTATTACCCTTAGAGGATAAGACTGTTGGCCCTAAAGACAGAGGTGTCAGTGCTGAATAACTGTGTGGCTTTGTGGATGGGGACTAAAGCACCATGATCTAAGTATTGAAAACCAGACCTAACGTTTAAGCATACGGACAGTGTTTTAGTTTCTATAAAACAACTAATACAGTAGACTCGTACAACTAAGAAGAGTTGAAATTACTTGGAATTAGGAAGAGTAATCTTTGCTTCTTACTAATTGTGCTGAAATAAATAATAGTGCCATAAGGAAGGAAAATCATAGTAAAACTCATTGACAACTGATAGGATAAACAGAAATGTCTGGTTTTCTTTACCTAAACATTGGTTGAGAATTTCTAACTATTCCTCACTCTGAGATAACTGATTGTGATTCTATTGAGAACTGAGCCAGTGACGATGTTTTTTATGTAAACCCTGACAAACTCATTCTTTAAGTAAGGCTTTCTACCTGGTGAAATTACATATAACAAAATCAACAGGTTTATCTTTTTCATTGCTATGAGAGGGGATGGCTCTTTCTAACACTAATTTGAGAGAAAAATTCATCCACCTCCCCCTGGAAAAAGATGGCTCAGTGATAAAGTATATCTCTAGTGAAAATGGAGACAACCTGAGACTGGAGCAAGGGACATGGGTCTCTAGCTCCAGCTCACAGCTGCTGCATAATTGAAAAATGGGTTCCTCACTCTCGACAAGCTGTTTCTCTATTTGCTTTTAAGGCAGACACTTTAAAATCATTTCAAAGGACAAAATGCTTTTTGAGCTAGATGAATCTGAAAGGTCCCTTCTGGCTCTAAAGTTCTTTTATAAGAACTTTATTTTTAGGCAGGGCTTTAGTTAAAAAGGATATGTTATGTTTTCAAAATGCACTTATTCCTAAATTATATGGGAAAAAATGGAGGAGAAAATAGTATTGTCTCAGGATTCCATCTTTTGTTCAGGTTCGGTAATCAGAGGTAAAAAGTGATCTTATCTAAAAAGACTACTTATTGTTTATTTTATCAGGTGATCAGATATCTAACCTTTGGACATTCCATTTCAGAGAGGCCACTTATCATTTATATAACCAAGGAGGCTTTGTGTCTACCCCCGCCCCATCATCTGCTTCCTGGAGTGATGCTCTCTGTCAAGCCTGGCATCTCCATGCTTCTGTGCTTTCCCAGCCTATTTCAATGAAGCAACATAACACGTTAAGTCAGGTCATATCATTCCAAATAAGAGCTGACGTCCTTACAGTGGCTTCCTGTCTCTGACCTTATGTCCTGCACACTCTCCCCCAAACAGAATGTAGCTGGTTCCCTGCTTCCTTCAATTCCTTCCAATGTTATCTTAGTGAGGTCTTCCTTGGCTACCCCTTTTAAAAATGGCAGTCTTCTCCTTCCTGGAAACTCCCTTCCGTTTGGGCATTTTCCCAATGTCCTTATCACTGTCTAACAAAAGCAAATAAATTACGGGCCGGCTCCGTGGCTCACTCGGGTGAGTGTGGCACTGGTAGCGCCGAGGCCATGGGTTTGGATACTATATGGGGATGGCCGGTGCACTCATTGGCTGAGCGTGGTGCGGACGACACTGTGCCAAGGGTTGTGATCCCCTTACCAGTCCAAAAAATAATAATAAATTACATAGTGTTTTATTCATTTATATTTATGTGTTTTTATTATATGTTGGCCCTCAGAATATAAACCTTGAAAGGCCAGGATGTTTATGTATTTTATATCTGCCATATCTTCAGGGCCTGAATTAGTACCTGCAGTGTATTAGATGCTCAGTATATTTGTTCAGTGAATGAATAAATGTTACTCTTTGAAGTTGCATCCATGTTGCAATGGTGAGGGTCATAACACCATTGTATCTCTTTATAATTTTTAAAGTTATTTTATAATGATTAAGCTGATTTGTTTGACTCTCAGCTTTTGAGAAATCATCCTGACAGGTATTAGACCAATTTCACAGGTGAGGAAATTTAGCCTAAAAAGTTATGTGACTTCTCAGAGGCCATTTACTTTAATGTACATGTCTGCTCCTTTAAAGACACTTCCAAGTTTGGAGAGACTGAGATGGCATTTGTTAGCAGTGATTGGAATGAGTGTTGGAATGAAGAAGCAAGCCAGCAGCTAGTTTTGGAAGGTGGGAGCATGAAAATGTAAAATTAAAGCACTTACTTTTATCTGGGGAAATGGAGGTAGCCCAAGAGAGCCTAGATGTTGTAGTATTACACTTAGCAAGAAAAGGATGAACCATGATTGGTTATGGGACAGTAAACATAGATAAAGTATCACAAATGAAATGCTGGCAGTAGAGGGAGGATGTAGGTTATAAAGAAATTATGACATTTAAGCATGCTAAACCACAGGTATTGTCTAAGGATGGATTTGCATGTAAAAATGAAAATATCCAACACATGCGTAACCTGAGCCAGGCTCTTCTAAGCACTTTACTTGAGAGATCCAAGTTATTACTACATTCTTGTGAGGCAGAGCCCATCAAAGCTACTGTTCAGCTGATGTATTCCTCAGCTGCCACTTGGTAGTTACTTGCTACCCCAGGTACCAGTCCTCTACCCTGGCAGTGGTTTTGGCCGGTCCGCTGGACCCCCAACCTCTCATGATTTGCCAGTGGCCAACAGGGTTTCTCTAGTTCCTGCTCCAGCCCTGGGACTAGCATCCACTTTGATTGGTCAGTGCCCATTTTAGTTTGTTTCTGCTGCTGTAACAAAATACCTTAGACTGGGTGATTTATAAACAACAGAAATTTATTGCTATAGTTCTGGAGGCTGGAAAGTTCAAGATCAGGGCAACAGCAGATTCATTGTCTGGTAAGGGCTTGTTTTCTGCTTCCAAGATGTTGCCTTCTTGCTGCGTCCTCACATGGTAGAAGGGAACAAGTCAGTTCCTTCAACCTCTTTTATAAAGGCACCCACTCATAAGAGTCCCACTCATGACTTAATTACTTCCCAGGAGGCTACACCACCTCTTCATAATATCACACTGGATATTAGGTTCCAATATATGAATTTTGGTGTGATGCCAACATTTGGACCTTATCAGTACTCGTGTGTTAGTCCGTTTTCTGTCACTTAGAATATCTGAAACTGAATAATATATAAGAAATGAAATTTATTTCTTTCAGTTTTAGAGGCTGGAAAGTCCAAGATCCAGAGGGTGCATCTAGAGAGGGCCTAATTCTTGGAGGGAAAACTACAGAGTCCTGTGATGACCAGGGTATCACATGCCGAGGATGGCAAGAACCCTTTCATGTACTGCCCTTATAAAGCCACAAGTGCATGCCCATGACAACTCATTACTCCATGAATGGATTAATCCTTTCACAAGGTCACGGTCATCACATCCAGTCACCTCTCAAAGGCCCCACTTTTCAACTGCCATAATCTGATTTCCTACCCTCTCACCACTGTTACAATGGGGATTCAGTTTCAGTGAGTTTAGAGGGTATGTTCAGTTCACAGCACCATGTTATGCTGGTGGCTAAATATTTTCAAAACTGTCTGGGTACTATTTTTATCAGAAACTGAGGCACAGAGCAAGAATTCAACCTGGGCAGACTGGCTGTAGAGTTTGTACTGCCTCTTTTTCCCTCAGATGAGAGTTCAGAAAGCCACATAGGAACTATGTGGTTACCTCTGGAGTGGCAGCTGGGACAAGGGACACAACTGAATCTTTAGTGGAACTGGATGTTTTATTTTTTACAAAGAAATTTAAAGCAAATGTTTAATGTCAGCCATGGGTACTTCTTTATGATTAAAATTTTTTTTTAACCTAAAGGTTTTGTTATGTTTTTACTTGTGCTTCTCCTAGTGAAGCAGATTCTTTCAACTCTATTCCTGTTGTACTGACTTCCCGATTCCATCCTTCCTAAGCTCATGTCTCCCTAGTCTGTCCTGCACTGTACTCATTTTTTGGAGGCACTCTGCCAAGCTTTCTCTGAACTCGGGAAGTTCCTCTTGTTGACATTTAAACCCTCTCTGAACTGGCTTGGTGTGTCTCAGCCTTGACTCCAATCACCCTCCTCCAGTCAGGACAGGCTAGTCACTGGCCTTCACGACTAGCCCTTTCTTTCCTTCAAGCATTTGTTCTTTGTTCATGTGACTCCCTCATTCTTTTCTGCCATTCCAGAATCCATGGTCCCTGATCCAAAACCTTCCCTAAAAAAATTGAATACATATACCTTACATGTCGTTCCACATCCCAGCAAAGACCTTGGCAGCACCCCACAACCAAACCCATCAACAATTCTGTAGGGAAATGTGCAAATTCTCACACTAACTGCGATAAAAACAGATTAAACTTCATACAAATTTCAGTCAGGTTTTGCTTTAAACTGAAGAAACTTTGGATTTTTAGACTTTTTTGGGTTTCTAAATTGTGTGCTGGGTTTTCACTTTTTAAGAAACTTTGTCTATGAAGCATTTATTAGCAATTTCTTCAGCAATGACAGCTAAGTCCAATGGACACTATAAGATAGAAAAATGAATAAATAAATACACTTGACTTCAGTGTTTTACCTTTAATTGTTTGTAGCTAGAAGCCTCTAGGCAGTGTTTATTGGGTTTGTGGAATGGAATTGAACAGCCCAGGACTTATCTGTTAGTATTGAATGGCTGGGCTACAGAAAGGACGCTTCAGTGCCCATGGGCACTGTATTAGTTCGTTTGTGTTGCTATAACAGAAATACCTAGGACTGGGTAATTTATAAAGAACAGAGGTTTATTTGGCTTACGATTCTGGGACAACTGCATCTGGCACAGGCCTCAGGCTGCTTCTACTCATGGCGGAAAGTGGCAGGCAGCTGACGGGTACAAGCAGATCACATGGTGAGAGGAAGCAAGAGAGAGAGGGAGGTGCCAGGGTCTTTTAAACAACTAGCTCTCGCAGGAACTAATAGAGCTAGAACTCACTCAATCCTCCTGCCCAGGGAGAGCATTAATCCATTCATGAGGGATCTGCCCCCATGACTGGAACAGCTTCCAGCACTGCCACATTGGGGATCAGATTTCCACATGAGTTTTGGCAGGGACAACATATCCAAACTCTATCAGGCACTTTGGAAGGTCTGCTGGGGCTGAGATGAAGAAGCTTTCATCACTGTCTGACTTGATTCTGGTTATTTTTATATACACCCAAGGTGCACTTGACTCTATTAACATGTGCTTCTTACTGAAATGATTCTTTTTTGTGAAATGTAACTTTTCTAGGTAGGTCCAGCACTTAAAGCATGGACTTTTCTGCTGGGAAACTTTTTCCTCTGTGTTTAACTGTAGTATCTTCTTCAGCTGCAGGAAATGCGTTTTGTCAGGCAGCCAAGCTCCACATGCAGCTTCAGAGCAAACACGACTCTGCCACCAGCTTTGTGGATGCCGGAAATGCTTACAAAAAGGCAGACCCTCAAGGTAAGGCAGGGAAGCACGAGCACATCTACCTCGGTGCATCACTAATGAGTCAGGGTTTCTTTCCTCGTTAACATCCATTTTGGTGTCCTTTTTAGTCCTGGTAAAGGGAATTTAATTTTTGTATCTTGGAATAATAGAGAAATTTTGATAACTTTAGGAACTTGTCTTCTTTAATCATTTGGGGACTTTTATGAGAAGAAAATATGTTACATTTATCCTAGCTGTTTAGCTGTCAACACCATTTTCTTAAATTCCATTTGTGTTGCATTTTAGAGAATTTTTTGGAAATTACCTTTAATTTTATCTAAGAATACTTTAATTTTATGAAATATGTATATTGTTAATGAAAGGAAGCTCTAGTGTTTCCTTATTTCTAAATACTTAGTGAGTTTTAAGGTCCAGTATTTGTTTTCATGAAAGAATGAAATCAGATATTTAAAGTAAAATTTTACAAATATTATTTCTTTTTTAGTTAGAAGAGTACACTTAGAAATTAAAAAATTAGGGCCAGCCCGGTGGCGCACTGCTACAGTGCGCCGCTTGGGAGTGTGGCGGCGCTCCCGCTGAGGGTTCGGATCCCACGTACAGACCAGCCGCTCACTGGCTGAGCGAGGTGCGGGCGCAACACCGAGGGTTGCGATCTCGTTGCCGGTCCCGGTCCGGTACGGGCGCGACACTGAGGGTTGCGATCCGTTGCCGGACACGAAAAAAGACAAAAAGGAAAAAAAAAAAAGAAATTAAAAAATTAATTTCTTCACTCCCAAACAGCTGCACAGATAGCTTTGAGTCTCCCTTTTTTCTCTTAACAGTCCATTTTGTTTAATACACAAATCTCAACTTTTATGAATATATCGTAAAGAAGTAAGATATCTTTAGGGGCTTTTGTATGAAGATTAATCATAGTTTATTTCCAAAAGTGAAATACTGGACACAGCCTAAATGAGCACTAAGAGTAGAATGGTAAAATCATAATGCGTCAGTATTTTAGAATGTGATGCAGGCATTAAAGTTCCTGGTTTCAAAGAATCTTCAGTGACCTAGTAAATGTTCACATGGTAATTAAAGAACCACGAGACTGAATGTCGTATCACCTCAATTGCAGATAACAGTTTGTGCATGCAGTAACGTGTCCAAAAAACACAGGAAGGACAGGTGCATCAAGATACTAACAGTGGCTTTGGTGGGATTATAGATAGGCTGTTTTCCTCTTTATATTCTGTATTTTTTTGGATTAGCTGGGATTCATTTTTTATTGTTTTTTTAAATTTATTGAAACATTATTGGACATATCTGTGGAGTATAGCATTGATATTGTTCTGTATTTTTAAACGTTGTAACAGCGAATCTACATTTTTTTATATAGCTTAGGGGGAAATTGTTTTTAATTTTTGTTAATCTATTTACCTTTCTAATTCTTTAGTCAGGGCTTTTCACTTTGTTGCCTCTTTTAAACCAAGAAAACAATAAACTTGGAGCTGTCAGCCATATGTTAGCATTATAAATAACACCATTTCATGATAAGGAAAAGTTTTGGCTGTTTTAGAAAATTAATATAATTTATTAGCATTATCATGTATTAGATATTTTTCTTCTTTTTTTGGATATGTTTAGTACATCAAAAGCTAGCATCTCTGAATATTATACCAAATGTTGACTTTGCTAAACAGTTGTCTGAACAAGTATATCAAAGTGCTTTTAATTTTGGCTGCAGGAGGAGTAGAATCTATTGAAGTGATCTTTCTGTGAAATGGTACCATCTTCCAGAATTAATATATATACACATGATATTGGTGAAGAATACATTTACATTTATGTTTTAGCAGATGTAATTTATCAGTGCTGGTGACAACCTCCATGATTTTGTTTTCTTTATAATGCAGTCTTTCACCTGGATGGAGTCCTCTCTCTAAGGTTAAGAGTAACTAGCCAGTATTACTCTAGCTACAGTTCCCTAAATTACACTTTAGCTGCTGGGAACAAAGCCATGCGGATTAATCTGGACTTCTGCATGATTTGTGTTTGCTTCTCACTAACTAACCTGCCTACTCTCCACCCCCAAATTGTACCTCTGTAATTCTGTAATAACAGCCACGAAAACAGGCTCACCTGAACGCTCTTTGACTGAATGGATTTTTTATTGTTTTTCTTAAATGCTATCAGAGGCTATCAACTGCTTAAATGCAGCCATCGACATTTACACAGACATGGTAAGACATTGCATTGCTTGAGCAAGCGGCTGGCTGCGGGGTGGAGTCCTTGAGATGGCTTAGAGTTATATTGCTTTTTTTTTTCCCTTTCCAAACTGATCGGCATTCAAATAGGTAAAACAGGTGTGTGACTCTGTTTTTTGTTTCCTCCCCAGGGAAGGTTTACAATCGCAGCCAAGCACCACATTACTATTGCTGAGATCTATGAGACTGAACTTGTAGACATTGAGAAGGTAAGCAATGGGCACAGTTCCTCATAAACTCAATATGGAGCAGATAAACAAGTTGACTCGAAGAACCCTCTCCTCTCCCAGCTGACGTGCATGGTGCAGAGTAGTCACAGATGGGTTTTCCTGGAGCCTTTTGAGACATGGCTGGCCAAGTAGATGAGCGATTTTCTTGTAATGAGTGTCTAAGGCACAAGAGTTCATTACGATTTACCAAGCTCACGTGTTGTCACTCTCTGTGATTCATATCAAAACATTGGTGTAACCAAAAGAGTCTTCAATTCTATCACTAAGTACTCCGACGTTCTGGGAAGAAAGCTTAAGAGGGGATCTCTGTCTATGCTCACTTAGCATTATGGCTTTAAGTGTCATCTCTATGCCAGTGACGGGCAAATCTGTCCACAGCCCAGACCTCTCTCTGAACTCCAGATTCCTATATCCACCTGCCTGCTAATCTCTCTACTTGTGTCCAGCAGTCATCTCAAACCCAGCATAATCTGAGACTGGATTCTGATCTCAAGTCCTCCTGTCCCCCACCACTACCATGTTCCCCTTTAAATCACACGTAGGCTTCCTTGGTCCATATCCAACCCATGAACAGTTTCTCTGGGCACTGACCTCTCTGCTCCCGAGTCTCAGCACTTCTCACTACCTTGCTGTCCCCCAGCTTGCACTTGATCACTGCAGGAGCCTCCTAACTCATCTCCCCGTTTCTACTCCCTGCTCCTCCTCAACCTGCTCACTTTCTATCCCCTGCAGCAGAGCAGCCAGAGTGATTCTTGTGAACAGTATATCAGATTCTTTTTCTCTGCTGCTTACAACTTTTGGTTGGTTCCCCCTTCACTCAGAGGAACAACTGGAATCTGCAAATGGCCTTTATTGCCCCGTTCCCTGCTCCCTTCCACCCCCTGCCCCACACTCCCCATGCATCAGAGGGATCTTTCCTCTCTTACTTTCCTCCCCTTCTGTACCCTGCTCCAGCCACCCTGGCCTCATTGCTGCTCCCCACACACAGGAGCCAGATGAGTTCCTGCCTCAAGACCTTTGCACTGACTCTTTTGTCTTCCTGCAGAGCTCTTCCCCAGATGTCCACGTGGCTAACTCCTTGTATCCTTCAAGTCCTTGTAGCTAACTTCCCCATGTCCTTCAGTATTTGTTCATTTATCACCTTTTCCATGAGGCCTGTCATGACCACCTAGTAAAAATTACACCCTTAGCCCCTCAGGTATGCATACCCAGACCCTCACACGCAGCTCGCTCAGCTTTTTCTTTTTTTGCAGAGCACGTATCACCTTACATCATGCGCTGTGGGATGCTTGCTCATGATTCCTGATATTCGTTGTCTCTCTGCCTCCACTAGAATGGGCACTCATGTCAGCAGAGAGCTTTGCCTCTGCTTTACTTATGTGTCCCAATATCCCAGAACTCTGGGACATAGCAGGCTCTCAATAACAGTTGAATAAAGAAGTGGCGCCCCTGTCTCTGCCATAGTAAAGGAAGGCTATCTTGGTTTGGGGAAGTATCTCTTAGGTAGTACTAGAGTTGGATTGGCATTGTTAATGTTCACCCTTGCTGACTTCATTCTGACCATGTATAAGGGATTGAATTATGTCCTCCCAAAACTCACTGAAGCTTGAATTGTGTCCCCCAAGTTTTATGTATTAGAAACTTAGCCCCCACTGTGACTGTTAAGAGAGTGGGAAATCATTATGGTAATTGAAAGGTGGAGCCTTGAGGAGGCAATTGGATTGTAGGACCATGCCATAGTGAATGGAGAGTCGGTGTGTCTCTCCCTCCCTCCCCTCCCCCTCCCCCTCTCCCCTCTCTCCCCCTCCCC